CCTTTATTTTTGCAGATGCCTGTCAGGCTTTTAACATGCTTCCTGCATTGAGGTCTTTAAACTGCTGTCTACCTTCAAGGTATCTTCATGTTTCTGCTTCCTCTCCTTCAGTTCTGTGTGTAATTTCAAGATCTTACTACTGTAAAACTGAAAGTAGTGTCATTTTATTCAAAGATAATGCAAAATTCAAAATGACTAATACTTCTTTTCAAGAAGGCATTTTTCATTTTGGGAGGTCTTTTCAGAGTATAAAGTGAAGATTTTGAAATAATGTATCCAAAGTTTTACTATGTTCAACTGCAGACCTAAATCACAAACTTATTCCCAAGGCATCGATTTTACCATGCACAGTAACCTTAGGAAATGCTGTGAAACAGTAAAACAATATGCAGGTTACATATAATGAACTATGGGCCTGAGTCATTCATGAGTAGCACAAGGAGCTCCCAAAGGTTTTATATAGAAATGGATTACGCCCTCTTTATGTTCTTATTGTTTACCCCTGTACCTCCTCTGTTTTTCCTAAGCAGCAGGCAGTGGAGGGGCTCTGGTTATCTACTCACCTATCTACTCCACTACCTCTCCACAGATCCAACCACCCATTCATCCCCATCTCTTTCCATAACTGCTATGAAACAGCCAACAGAAGGAATAGTGTGGGCCTGATACTAGAGGGAATGTGACAATTAAGCTGAATGAATGAAGCAGATTACACAATTACAGTGACTTAGTATATAATTTATTCAGATAGTTTAACCCAGTGTAATTTTACTTCATTCTTTAGATAATTTTTTAAAAGACTAGATTAAAACAAGTGAAGGAAACATAACTAGTCTCAATGAGATGATAGTCTATTTCCCAAATATAATTTTCATTTTCATCATGACAGATTTTAACACATGAAATTTAACACTAAGACCATATCATTCTAATTAATATCTTGCATTCCCTACTAACATCTATTTCAATGTTCGCTGGAAATAATATCAAGAGTGAGGTGAGGATCAGAAAAAAGGCAGATATTAACAGATACTAATCAGAGCATACTCAGAAGGAAGATGGGGCAATCTACTTCCATAGTGATACTGCCTCGGAAACCCAAGGAGGGGTCCCTATGAGTCGAGTCCGACTCGACGGCACATAACAACAACAACACAACAATCAGAGCATAAGCTTAGGTTTAGTACTCAGAGGATGGGCTAAGTGTAAAGAAGCAAATGGGTTAATCTATTCAGTTTTTAAAATATAAAGTATTTTTATTTCTTAAGAAAATGGACTGTGAAAATTGGTTGAAAGTTGATTTGGAGAGGAGAAAAAAGGGAGTTAGAATGATGACTAAGACCACAATCTTAGTCTGAGTTATGTAATGTAAAAATATACGACTGTTAACTATTACTTTAAAAATGATTAAAAATTACCTATTGAGAAAGACAGAGAGAGTTACATGGGCAGTACAAACAACAAATATGAACCCCTTTGTAAATACAATACTGAGTTGTTAATGAAAGCAAATATGG